CCAAAGCCTAAACCCTAAACTAAACCCTAAACCCTAAAACCTAAACCCTAAAGCCCACACCAAACCCTAAGCTCGAAACCTTGAGCCCGAACCTCGGAGATCTTAGGACTCAGGTTCTACTGTAGGGGCCTAAATAATTACCAATTACTATGTTGGTGGGGGGTGGGGGTCCTTAGTATCTTTATAGTATAATGGACACCCAAGCCCTATTCTAATTATTGAGGCCCCTATATTCAGCCCTTTGGCTCTGAAACCCATCTTGTGCGAGACTTCTTGGGGTTAGGCTAAACCTCAAGAAGTGGGAAACTGGATTAAGGACAACTAGTGCTGGGATTCCCTATACATTACTCTTAAGGATTGATACTGTGAGGTTTCCAACTGTTGGCCCCAAAACCCTAAACCCTAAATCCGAAGCCCTAGACCCAAAGCCCGAAACCTAAACCCTAAACCCAAAGCCCTAGACCCTAAACCCTAAGCCCTGAAACCCTAAACCCAAAGCCCTAAAACCCTACACTCTAAGCCCTAAAACCCTAAACCCTAACCCTGAACCCAAAACCCTGAAACCCTAAGCCCTAAAACCCTGAACACTGGACCCACTGTAGCGTTGCGAGCCTCAGCGGGACCCAAGAGCTTCAACCCCACTCCTTGCTAGAGTGGGGTAACCCTACAGTAGAAGCCAAAAAGTTGGAACATCATGATCCTCGTGCCCTTAAGGTAAAGTATAGGGGATCCCACACTAATCATCCAAAATCCATCTTTCAACTTTCTGGGATTCACTATAAGGGTCCCTGTGCCCAAATGGTATAACGGGGTTTTGGGGTTAGGGTTTAGGGGTTTAGGGGTTTAGGGTTTAGGGGTTTAGGCGTTTAGGGATTTAAGGGTTACGGGTTAAGGCTTTAGGGGTTGAGGGGTTAGGGTTTAGGGGTTTAGAGTACATGCTTTGGTCCCAAAGTACCTATAAAGGAGCCTTCTGTAAGGCCAAAGTATATACAATTTTGGCACATGGGCCCGGAATTCCCTGCACCCTTGTGGTACCCCGTAGAACCCTTGAAAGCACCCGTAAAGGAACCCTGAATTAAGTTTAAGGGTACGCACCCAGGATCCTCCAAGTACGGTTGATGATATAAATCCTGCATTAGACATAATAATGAATATACCATAAGTCGTATAGGTCGTGTAGTTCAGGGTCCTTCTTACTTAGAATAAAGATTATACCAGAATTCCTACAGTTTACATAGGGTCCTGAAGGTAATGTAGGATTTAAATCATCAACAGTAGGAACACACTCTAAGCTGGACTTCCGGGACCCACTGGCCGAACCCAGCTGCAGGGCTCAGTGGGACGTAGGGGTTTAGGGGTTTAGGGTTTAGTGTTTAGGGGCTTAGGGTTTCGGGCGAGGGTTGACGGTAACGCGCTTGTTTTGCAAGATATAACCCTGACAGAAGTCAGCCACGCTGCTTTCACCTTGCCGCAGTAGGGGCATGTGGTATATCTATACCTCGAAAGCGGGCGTGGGGTTGTCTTTGTGCTTCAGGGTGTTGAGTTCCTTCCAGCCCCAGGCCCTAAATCCTGAAATGTTCCATTCACGATGCGGGCTAAGACTTGACACGGAGCTGTCAGAAGTCGGAGCAGGTTAGAGCTTATGGGGGTCGAGGGCTCTTCCGGGACTAGAGATTAGGGTGCAGGGGCTAAGGCACATATCAACGGAAGGTTCAGGGTTTAGGGGTTTAGGGTTTAGGGAAAGTGCAGAGACTTTTGTGGTGTTTGGGAGCTATGATAGGCTAATGATAGGTGTGCTTAGTAGGACAGCACCCATGCATTTCGGAAATCTATCCGAGGAGCCCAGCTCCCCCTGCATGTGAACATCTCGCGGGTGTTTAGGGTTTAGGGCTTTAAGGCTTACGCGTAGGGCCTCAGGTTTAGGGTTTAGGGTAATGGCCCATTCTTACAAGCCCTGCAGAAGTACAGTAGTAAGTTTCATTCATCACACAAGGAGCTTTGTTGTCAAAGGGCTGATATGCAAGTATATACTGATACAGGAAAGTACATAAATGTACCCGATGCGCGAGCCCTCGGCAACGGCAGACCGGACATCAACGCACAAAGTTCAGGAATCCCTTAGACGGAAACTTCAGAGAGGAGCTCTTGTTCGCAACCTGTTCAAGTTCATGGGTCTGGCGGGCCCTCTTGGCATAAGAGTTCCGGGTTTAGGGTCGAGGGTTATGATACTATGCTGTACGATAATTGCTTTAGACCATGACCAAATGCGCAGCACTAGGCGGTGATCGTCCAAAAACTCAACAGCCCCTAGCATTAAGTCACAGTTTTACATGAAGCATCGACTTTCCTCAACTAAGCCAATTTTTCCAAATCCGAAGCTGCTTAACTCCTGTAGAGGCATTCCGGCTTCGATATTCATTACACAGTTTGGAAAGGCTCGCTCTCCCGAATTTCTGCTGCAGGCTTGCAAGTTTGGAGGGCTTTATGGATCCTATCAAAGCCTTAAACCCTAAACCCTGCAAAAAACAAGCCAGAATCAACTCAGGTCTCGCGGTTATTTAGAACTTTCAGCCGTTGCCAGAACCTAAACCTCAAAATCCTACACCCTCAACCCTGTCAAAACCTTACACCCTAAACCCGACACAACTCTTAGCCCGATCTACTACAGTAGAAGCGCCTAAAAACTAAACCCCTAAACCCTA